GAAAATATGGTAAGGGCAGCCAGAGAGAAAGGTTGGGTTACCCACAAAGAGAAGCCCATCAAACTAATAGCGGATCTCTCGTCAGAAACCCTACAAGCCAGAAGAGAGTGGGGGCCAATATTCAGCATTCTTAAGGAAAAGAATTTTCAACTGAGAATTTCATATCTGGCCAAACTAAGCTTCATAAGCAAAGGAGAAATAAAATCCTTTACAGACAAGCAAATGCTGAGACAATTTGTCACCAGCAGGCATGCCTTACAAGAGCTCCTGAAAGAAGCACTAAATATGGGAAGGAACAACTGGTACCAGCCACTGCAAAAACATATCAAATTGTAAAGACCATCGAAACTATGAAGAAACTGCATCAACTAAGGAGCAGAATAACTAGCTAGCATCATAATGACAGGATCAAATTTACACATAACAGTGTTAACCTTAAATGTAAATGGGCTGAATGCCCCCAGTTGAAAGACAGACTGGCAAATTGGATAAAGAGTCAAGACCCATGGGTGTGCTGTATTCAGGAGACCAATCTCACGTGCAAAGACACACATAGGCTCAAAATAAAGGGATGGAGGAATATTTAGCAAGCAAATGGAAAGCAAAAAAAAGCAGGGGTTGCAATCCTAGTCTCTGATAAAACAGACTATAAACCAACAAAGATCAGAAAAGACAAAGAAGGGCATTACATAATGGTAAAGGGATCAATGCAACAAGAAGAGCTAACCTAAATATATATGCACCCAATACAGGAGCACCCAGATTCATAAATCAAGTTCTTAGAGACCTACAAAGAGACTTAGACTCCCACACAGTAATAGTGGGAGACTTTAACACCCCACTGTCAATATTAGACAGATCATTGAGACAGAAAATTAACAAGGATATTTAGGACTTAAACTCAGCTCTGGACCAAGCAGACCTAATAGACAGAACTCTCCACCCAAATCAACAGAATATACATTCTTCTCAGCACCACGTCACACTTATTCTAAAATTGACAACATAGTTGGAAGTAAAACATTCTTCAGCAAATGCAAAAGAACTGAAATCAAAACAGTCTCTCAGACCACAGTACAATCAAATTAGAACTCAAGATTAAGAAACTCACTCAAAACCGCACAATTACATGGAAACTGAAAAACCTGCTCCTGAATGACTACTGGATAAATAACAAAATTAAGGTAGAAATAAATAAGTTCTTTGAAACCAATGAGAACAAAGACACAACATACCAGAATCTCTTGGACACAGCTAAAGCACTATTTAGAGGAATATTTATAGCACTAAATGCCCACAGGGGAAGGTGGGAAAGATCTAAAATCAACACCCTAATGTCACAATTAAAAGAACTAGAGGAGCAAGAGCATACAAATTCAAAAGGTAGCAGAAGACAAGAAATATCTAAAATCAGAGTGGAAATGAAGGAGATAGAGACACGAAAAACCTTCAAAAAATAAATGAATCCAGGAGCTGGTTTTTTGAAAAGATTAACAAAAGAGATAGAACACGAGACAGAATAATAAAGAAGAAAAGAGAAAAGAATTAAATAGACACAATACAAAATGATGAACAGGATATCACACTCATCACACCAAAATACAAACTACCATCAGTGAATACTATAAATACCTCTATGCAAATAAACTAGAAAATCTAGAAGAAATTGATAAATTCCTGGACACATACACCCTCCCAAGACTAAACCAGGAAGAAATAAATCCCTGAATAGACCAATAATAAGTTCTGAAATTGAGGCAGTAATTAATACGGTACCCACCAAAAAAAGCCCAGAACCAGACAGATTCACAGCTGAATTCTACCAGAAGTACAAAGAGAAGCTGGTGCCATTCCTTCTGAAACTATTCCAAACAATAGAAAAAGAGGGAATCCTCCTTAACTTATTCTATGAGGCCAGCATCATCCTGATACCAAAACCTGACAGAGACACAACAAAAAAAGAAAATTTTAGGCCAATATCCCCAATGAACATTGATGCGTAAATCCTCAATAAAATACTGGCAAACCAAATCCAGCAGCACATCAAAAAGCTTATCCACCACAATCAAGTTGGCTTCATCCCTGGGATGCAGGCTGGTTCACATATGCAAATCAGTACATGTAATCCATCACATAAACTGAACCAATGACAGAAACCACATAATTATCTCAATAGATACAGAAAAGTCCTTGATAAAATTCAACACCCCTTCATGCTAAAACTCTCAATAAACTAGGTATTGATGGAATGTACCTCAAAATAGTAAGAGCTATTTATGACAAGCCCACAGCCAATATCATACTGAATGGGCAAAAGCTGGAAGTATTCTCTTTGAAAACTGGCACTAGACAAGGATGCCGTCTCTCACAACTCCTATTCAACATAGTATTGGAAGTTCTGGCCAGGGCAATCAGGCAAGTGAAAGAAATAAAGGGTAATCAAATAAGAAGAGAGAATGTCAAATTGTCTCTGTTTGCATATGACATGATTGTATATTTAGAAAACCCCATTGTCTCAGCCCAAAATCTCCTTAAGCTGATAAGAAATTTCAGCAGTCTCAGGATACAAAATCAGTGCACAAAAATCACAAGAAATCTTATACACCAATAATAGAGCAACAGAGAGCCAAATCATGAGTGAACTCCCATTCACAATTGCTACAAAGAGAGTAAAATGCCTAGGAAGACAACTAACAAGGGATGTGAAGGACCTCTTCAAGGAGAAATACAAACCACTGCTCAAGGAAATAAGAGAGGACACAAACAAATGGAAAAACATTCCATGCTCATGGATAGGAAGAATCAATATTGTGAAAATGTCCATACTGCCCAAAGGAACAGATCAATACTATCCCCATCAAGTTAACACTGATTTTCTTCCCAGAATTAGAAAAAACTACTTTACTATGGAACCAAAAAGAGCTCGTATACCCAAGACAATCCGAAGCAAAAAGAACAAAGCTGAAGGCATCACACTACCTGACTTCAAACTATACTACAAGACTACAGTAACCAAAACAGCATGGTACTAGTACCAAGACTACAAGACTACAATAACCAAAGCAGCATGGTACTTGTACCAAAACAGATATATAGACCAAGGAACAGAACAGAGGCCTCAGAAATAACGCCACACATTTACAACCATTTTATCTTTGATAAACCTGATAAAAACAAGCAATGGGGAAAGAATTTTCTATTTAATAAATGGTGTTGGGAATACTGGCTAGCCACATGCAGAAAACTGAAACTGGATCCCTTCCTTACACTTTATACAAAATTTAACTCAAGATGGATTAAAGACTTACATATAAGACCTAAAACCATAAAAACCCTAGAAGAAAACATAGACAATACCATTCAAGACATAGGCATGGGCAAAGATTTCATGACTAGAATACAAAAAACAATCACAACAAAAGCCAAAATTGACAAACGGGATCTAATTAAACTAAAGAGCTTCTGCACAGCAAAAGAAACCATCATCAGAGTCAACGGACAACCTACAGAATGGGAGAAAAATTTTGCAATCTGTCTATCTGACAAAGGGCTAATATCCAGACTCTACAAAGAACTTAAACAAATTTACAAGAAGAAAACAACACCATCAAAAAGTAGGCAAAGGATATGAACAGACACTTCTCAAAGCAAAGATACTTATGCAGCCAACAAACATATATAAAAAAGCTAATGGTCACTGGTCATTAGAAAAATGCAAGTCAAAAACCACAATGAGATACCATCTCATGCCAGTTAGAATGGCGATCATTAAAATGTCAAGAAACAATAGATGCTGGATAGGATGTGGAAAAATAGGAATGCTTTTATACTGTTTTTATACTTTTATACATTGTGGAAGATAGTGTGGCAATTTCTCTAAGATCTAGAACCAGAAATACCATTTGAACCATTACTGGGTATGTACCCAAAAGATTATGTATCATTCTACTCTAAAGACACATGCACACGTATGTTTATTGCAGCAATATTCACAATAGTGAAGTCTTGGAACCAACCCAAATGCCCATCATTATAGACTAGATAAAGAAAATTTGGCACATATATGCCATGGAATACTATGCAGTCATAAAAAAGGATGAGTTTATGTCTTTCGCAGGGACATGGATGAAGCTGGAAACCATGATTCTCAGCAAACGAACACAGGAACAGAAAATGAAACACCACATGTTCTCAGTCATAAGTGGGATTTGAACAATGAGAACACATGGACACACGGAGGGGAACATCATACACCAGGGCCTGTCAGGGGGTGGAGGGTTAGGGGAGAGATGGCATTAGGAGAAATACCTAATATAGATGGGTTGATGGGTGCAGCAAACCACCATGCCACGTGTATACCTAGGTTAACAAACCTGCACATTCTGCACATGTACCCCAGAGCTTAAAGTATAATTTTTAAAAAGGTGGAGAAATCTGGAAAAAAAAAAAAAAGACAATTAATTTATATTAAAGATTCGGAAGATGTAAATGTAGAATTTTTCCTCTAGCCGGTACATGGGGAAGGTTGACATGATGACTTCTTGAGATCCTTTTAATCGTATTATAAATGCATAGAGCTAGGAGAGATATGGATTATCTCAGGTTTTCAAGGACTAAGTATTTCAAGAGTAATAGACAAAGGAAAATACCCAGATTACTTACCCAGTGAAAAATCTACTAATTTGTTATAGCCATCTGAAGCTTCATTTTTAGAATTTAGGTTATTAGTGAGATGAGATTTCTATCAAATACTTCTGAGCTATAAGCAATATGAAAGGACTGCTAATATAAAAATTTTCTTTATTTTCTTGATCCTCAGCTTTTATTCAGTGGTCCTTGTGAATTGAGTCTGGATGCCTCAAAAAGATAAATGTTTCAGAAACTAAAAGTATGGTTATTGAAAGCCTGGTTTATAATCATTTTTAAGAGGGTTTTACTAGTCTGACTTCATTCTTTTTTGGCTTATTTCACTCAGTCTGCTATTTAATCTTTAATTACAGGCCACAAAAGAAGTAATAGAACGGGAAGCACCAGGGATGGCCCTGGCAATGCTGATGGGATCACTTAATGTTACACCTCTGGGCATGCTCTCTAGGTAAGAAAGTCACCAACCTGTTGCAGAGAAAGTTAATTCCATACCACTAATCAATACACTATATTGATAAACCTAAGAAACTTTAGTCTTAACACTTAAGTTTAGCCCTTGTTTTTCCAGGGTTAAGAGCTTTAGTATTCTGTAGCCACAATTTTCCCACTTCACTTCTTTTTTGTTGTTGTTGTTTTGTTTTTTGGTTTTTGGGTTTTTTTGGGGTTTTTTTTGCTTATTAAGTTAAACTTTCAGAGACTGTTATATTACTACTGGTAGAAGTTATCAATTCCTAACCCAGAGAATCCAGTTTATTACTATGTAAAGTTACTGTTTTCTGTGATTGTTTATAATCATCAGTTGATATCCATTAATTGTAGGTAAATACTAATTTAATAAAACTAAACTGCCAAGTTTATTAAAGTAACTCGTTCTCACAAGTTAGGAGCTTATATTCCAATTTATAAATAGGCATGTTGATGTGTTGTTGTGATAAAAAAAGCTCAATTCATATTGTTAATCTTTTAACACTTGGCAACTGGGTATATTTAAATTATTATATTACATTAATGATATACTATTATTATATTAAATTAGTCTACCTAAAACTATGCCTTTGTTGACACAGATGTTGATATCCATCCTCAATTTAACAGTAATTATTTGCCACTATTTTAGCAACTCTTAGGTTTAAATCCCCTAATTACATCATTTAAGTTAGAAGTGTCAACTTAGAATCTGTTGATTTAATGAACATTAATTAATAGTTGATCTCAGAGCAAGCTAAAAATATATGGCAACTGTATAGTTTCAGGGTTTCATAATTGATAGCCATTTATGTATCCTGTGTGCAGTATGAATATAAAATTAAATGTGTCCATTGACTAGTATGGAATATGAGTTGTAATGTTCTTTCTGTTACATAAACAGTTTATATCCCATCAGTGGCAGCCACTTGAAGCACAGATACAGGAGATTATGAATGGGTCATTAGTTACTATATTCTCTTTGCTGTCACATGTACTATAACATTTAATTTTAGTAAAAGCAAATAAGTAATTAAGATACTATGATAGAGACTAAAGCTAAAGTTTGTGCTGGGCTTTAAGGAACACCAGTTGATTCTTTCATAGTGTTCCTTTTTTGACCATTACTTTTATTACCTACACCAATGAGTTCAGGGGATCCCGTTTTTCCTATGGAATTAAGTAGTTTTCAAACATAAAAGAACTCTTTCTTGTATACAAGCAATAACATCAAGAAAGAATTAAACTTCATTCTCTTGCTAATTCTTTTGTAATAAAATTTTAATTCAGTAAACATAGTAATATGCTTATTTGCCAAGTCCCATATTAAGCATTAGGGATTCTAAGGTTAGAAAGAAAAATAAGAAATGGTCCTCCCCTTAAGGATCCCACAGTTTAAATGGAGACATTTTTCTTTGCAACTGTTAAGATAATTCTTCAAATTAAATCTAGCTTTCTTGATCCAGTATAGAAATATCACTTTTTGTTATATTGAAAGGTTTTTCTGAATTAATTTTTTTTCTCCCTTTTGTATCCTCATAATTACCAAGCACTGGACTGCTGAGTGAGTGGAAAATTAATTAGCAGGAGCTGATTCTAATTACTTTGGCATAAGTTGTTCATCTTTATCCTGAAAGCTTTGAAAATTAATACATATAAACAGCATGGGCGCACCTTCTGGCTTTTCTGTCTGTGCATTGCTGATTTAACTGAGAATATATTTACAAACCTTGGAACAGACATAGTAGTTTACATTAGTTATAGAAAAGGGGATATTTCCCTGAATGTTCATTTTTGTGCTTCTCAAAGCCATTTTTAAAATCATTATTTTTATAATAGCCATGATTAGATTGGTACTTCCTTTCTACAGCCTTTCTATTCTGTATGCACTTTTGGCTTTGTACATGCTTCTACTATGGAACATGTCATAGTATATTGTAATTAATTATTTGCTTGTCTGTATCACCTAGTTAGTAGAAACTTCTTAAAGACAGGAGCTTTATCTTATTCTTTTTTACCTAAAACAAATTCTGACACATAGTAAGTACTCGAAAAATATTTATTGTTGTGGTTACTATGGATAAATCAGTGTTTTACCATAGTTCTATAGCATGTTTTTTTCAGGTAAATTAATGCATCAAGTTGGTGCCTTACTTTCCTATTTTTATGTCTAGAGAGCAGCATTAAATAAAAATAAATGTTTAAATCATTGCATATGTTTGAAATGGTTCCCTACTATTTGGACAACTTAATATCCTCCAAATTTTTTGTATAAGTAAGTTGGGAGATATTATGAAGTAATGGTTAAGAGCATCATCTCTGAAGACAGATTGCTTGTGTTCTACTATGTTAATGCCTTTTTTGTTTTCGTTTTCTCATCTATATAATAAGGATGTTAATAGTACCAAATTTCTCAGATAAAGTGAATTAATCTATGTAAAGCACTTAGAAAACTGACTCATAGTAACTGTTAAGTGATGATCATGGTTGTTGTTGTTTGAGTTTTTGTTTTTAGAGCAGGTCTGTTGGTGAAACCTTTTCTTAGCTTTTCTTCATTAGGAAATGTCTTTATCTCCATATTACTCCTGAAGGATATTTTCACTAGATACAGAAATCTGGGTTGACTATTCTTTTATTTCAGCATTTAAAAAAAAGTAAAATAAAATATTATTCGACTATCTTTTGCTCCATGGTTCCTGAAAAGAAATGAGCAATCGATTCAAATTGCTGTTTCCTCATGTGTAATGGCAAATTTCTCTGGCTGCTTCAAAAATATTTTTTCTTCAGCTTTAGTTTCAGCAATTTGATTATGATGTATCTGGGTGTAATTTTCTTTTAGATTATCCTTCTGGGTTCAGTGAACTTTATGATTCTGTAAATTTATGTCTTTTACCAAATTTGGGATATTTACTTTTTTTTTTTTTTTTTTTGCTGCTTCTATAACATGAATTTTAGATTTTTTGGTAATGTCTCACAAATCTTTTTTACTCTGTATTAATTTTAGGTTATTTCTGTGATCTATCTTCAAATTAGCTGACTTTTGCCCTCTTTCATCTTCATTCTGCCTTTGAGCATATCTAGTGGCTTTTATTTCGGATATATTTTCAGTTCTAAATTCTCCATTTGGTTTTTTTGTTAATGGTTTCCAATTTCTCTGCTAAGAACTTGCATTTTTACATTTATTTCAAAATTATTGCCCTTTATGTCATGGAGAATAGTTATAATAACTGCTTAAAATTATTCTTCTGACAATTTCAATATCTGGCTTACCTTGGAGTTGACATCGGTTGATTTCTTTTCCAATGAGAACTGGTCAAATTTTCCTTGTTTTATGTTGAGAAATTTTGGATTGTGTCCTGGACATTCTGAACACTACATTGTAAGTACATTATTTAACTCCTGTTAAAATCCTCTGGGGAATTTTAATTTAGTTAGTTTTAGCAATTGATCTGATTGGGTTCAGACTGTAAATTCTGTCTCACTTTCTGTGGGTAGTGGCTCAGCCTTTGCTATATTGTTAGTGTCTGCCCAGTACATGAACCATTTAGGAGTTAGTTTGAGACTTGGGAAGCAGTATATACTATGTTTATGTTTTAAAAGCTTTTCTTGTACTTCTTTTATACTGTCCCACGTATTCACAGCTCAGGGGTGACCCTGGAACTTGGGTCAGTTCACATACAAAATTAGAGAATCCACCTTCTTTAGCTCTCTTCTTTCCAAGAATTTCCCCCCCAGTCTCCAGCTTCCAGGGGACCCCATTCCCAGTTACTCTGACCAGAAGAGGTTTCTTACAGAGTATTAACTCCCTTTGCAATTATGTAGTTGTACACAACTGACCTTTGGGACAAAGAACAAAGAAAAGAAAAAAAGAGAGAAAGAGATTCCTCTTACCTCAGTTCTTTAGACAATATCGGCTCTTTTTTTTGTTTCCATTAGCCAAAGTGATAGGTAGGTCTTCTCTCTGGGCTTTGGGTGCTAACACTGTCATCATTATAGTATTGCAGCTCCACAATTAGGCCTAGCCCCATTAAGAGCTGTTATTCAAGCTCTGACTTCAGTCCCAAATCTGCCTGCTATTATTTTACATTCAGTGTCATCAGGTAATCACTGTGTACTCTAAACAATCAGTAGGAGAGAGAAGCTATGGTTACTTTCTCCATCTTGGCTGACACCAAAGAACAAGTATTGTAACTTTAATATCAGATCTCTGACTTCATATTTACTAGCATTTACTAGTAGTGTTACCTTGTTACTTTACAAGATTTAGCACATCTTGTTCCAGTAGTTAACTAAACTACCCACAAAATAGTAGCATTTAATCTCCCTAAATTTATAATTTATTCCCGACTTGTTTTTTTTAAAAGATCAAATACTCTTTTTTCCCCCTAAATTTCATTAAAAATAACAGACCACTGTGGTTATACACTGAAGAATGATTTGTCATGAATTTTATTCTCAGTTTTGTCATTAATTTGATTTATGATCTCTACTTAGTTTTATAGGGATAATACATAGCTCATAGAAATGTTATGAGGTCCTTTAAAGATTTACTCACACGTGTGTGTGTGTGTAAAATAAGAAATATCTAATTCATAGAAAGAGAAATTGATTGCCAGTTTTCCATTTTAGTATAAAGAGATTTACCATTGTAATCTTCAATGACTCATCTTTCAATTCTGTAGCTGTAATAAACACATGCACAGATTTTAGGGAGGAGATAACACTTTCCATTTGGTGCCAAAAATGGTTGTATAACTAATATTGGTTAAAAGAAAAATTTCAGGAAATAAAAACACAACACTTATTTTTTATAGACATGAATCAAATTATTCTTAGTATTATTTAGATAATATTAAAGTAACATGGGTCATTTAAAGTAACAGTACAATCATCTTGAAGAGTTTCTATTTTTTTAACCCACACCAAATATACTTAGCTTATGAAAGTCTATAGGGGAGCAGAAGATGGCAGAGTAGTATATAT